TACATAATTACTGTTATTATTTGATTTAGCCAAAAGTTTTATTACTTACTTTAACCAATCAGTAAAAGCTGTAATCATAATGAAACATTTTAGTCGAATTTTGCGCAATACTCAGAAATATCATTTAACATTCAATGAATCAAATTACATGAGCAATGATAAAAAGTTTAATCGAATCATGCATTATCTGTATTCGATTTAGTTTTGATTAGTATACTAAATGATATGAACAGTGATTGAAAATTTTATCAATATCATTTATTATTTGCATGCAATTTAGTCTTAATTTAATTATTCACTTTAATTTAATATGAAAACTATGAAATCGATAATCTGGACGTACTTTAACTGTTATCAATTTCTCTGTTTTGAAATATCTATTGCTTCTATTAATCTTGTTTTCTTAAATAAATTTTGTTTAAACTAAATTTTTTTCTCTTTTCACTGAAATAATTATATATTTGATGTGTAGAAAAATGCAACAATATAAAGTTAACTGCTCAACTATTTATGTCCAAATTTTTTCCGAATTTGACAATATCGACAACAATGAGAAGTGAATTGCGATACAGTTAAACTGGAACATAGATCGAATAGCAAATCATTATAATGTGAGAATGGTTGAATCTTATAGGAACTCCAGTTCATTTCGGAATAGAGTAATGAAGGGCACATTTCATGCCTCCATCAATTTTCATTTTTGGTGATCACAGAGAAATGTGAGACGGATCTCCGTGAGGAGTTTCAATTTTCCAAATCAGTCATCGGCAATTAAAAATCGACGAAGTTATTAGACGCAAAAAATTTTTTGGGTTCTCACATATCCCATCTGATATATGATGTGAAGAGTTCCTGAACCACGATTTATTCAGTTCAATATTTTGATAACTTTTACTTCTGAGGGGCATTTGCGAAATGAAGGCTTAATTAAATATTTTTATTAACAGTTTTTCAGTGACATGAATAGTGATATGAAAGAGAATGAGGACATAAAATCATGTCGTCGTTTGGAATTTCGAACTTCTGTTAAGTTTCTGGAAACTTCTGTTAAAGTGCTACAAAAAAAAAAGGTAACAAATTATTTAACAAGTAGTGGTGTAAATAATTATCACAGTTATGAAAATTTGAGATATATGCATACATCCACCCTAGTTAGTTTTGGCTGTTCCCAAACCAGCTTGTAGAGATTTTATAAAATGATGAAAGTGATGGTGTAGCCTTGATACTCCCTAATTGCTGTTGCTGTTGAGTTCTTGATTCCTTTTTTCTCACAGCCGCTATACCAGTTGCAGATGGCATATCATCAAGCTTCTGAAAAATTTTGAAAATCTTAGAAAGATTGGAAAATTTAGATCTTTTTTGGATGATTTGCTGGATAACTTAAGCCAATGGAACAAACAAGTAAGATTTTATAAAACAATTCGAAACAACTGAAGAGTTTTAATTAATTTTTGATAAAAGCAATTTTTAATGATACCTTAATTTTCGATATTTTAACTATTTCTTACCGTATTTTTTGTCAAACGTGGGATATGTGTAAGACGTGGTGCATCACTTAGCCGAGGTATAATATCAACAACAGTCGAGTAAGATGGACTCAATGAAAGTTCTTTGTTAATTATCACATCCGAAAGCAAGTGCGCAAAAATGATCTGGAAAAAAAAATAGGGCAATAAATCGTATTACTCAAAACTACGAAAAAAAAAAAAAACTTCTGATGTTGACCAAAACAGAGGTGTTTCAATAGTGACAGTATCGCCAAAACTTACACGGAGCTTGTAGAAATTTCGCATCCTATTTTAGCCATATAAATAGGAAATTTCTTAATTTTTCAATTTTTTTAATGCAATTCTAATTTAAAAATCAAAACAACATCTATAGAGATAATGATTAAGAATGAGAAAACGGTAACGAACCGAATAACGTTGAGCTGCAATCCGAGCATTTTTTCCAAGCGGGCTAGAGACAAGATTCAAATCAAACGGATCCAATTTTGCTTCTAAAAGAGGAATTAGCGAACGCATACCACCATTTGGTAAGATAATATTCAAGAAACGAATATCGAAAAGATACTGCATAGCGATTCGAGAGGATAATTCAACATTAGAATGAGCAATGACGGAATACACCGAAAGAAGTAATTGTTCAAGATGCTGTGAAATGTGTGATCGAATATTCCGTGTACATAAATAACCGATGGAATCGTTGGAGATCTGAAATTTGAAGTGGATCACAATCTAATTTTAAAGTGTACAATAAATTATTACATCTTTGCAAGATAAAAAAAAAGATAAAAAATTATTTCATTTTATTACAGTAACAAATATCGAGCGTAGAAGTGCTGAAAATTTGTCGCAGTTATGAGATTTTGTACATTATAAGAAACAGAAGAGTACTTCAAAAACAATGGTTAACAAAGTCCCCCGAATAAGTAACAGTGGAAACGTCTTGAAGTACGCAACAGCAAAATCCTTTCCAAATTTACCACATGAAAAATTTACCTTCTGACATAAATCATACAGAAAAGAGTATAAAATTCGATTAATTTGCACAGGCACTTCCACTATGCCAACTTCAGGTAATTCTAATTTTTCAAATTCCTGAATATATTTGGAAGCATGTAATTAAAAAGAAAACAATTCCGCAAATTCGAATTTAGCAAAACGTGTAAATAAATCTTTCTCAACAAAAATTGTAAAAACAAGTCAAAAACATTTCTGAAATCATATAAAAAGGATTACAAACCTGCAAATATGATATGAATATGAATGGATCATCATGTACTTCGGCCAACTTTCTCACTTCTGTCTCTTCAGCACAATCTTCAATAAGCACATCCAAATAAGCACTACAAAAAAACAGGATATGCCATAAGAATTTTTATCGATATCTCGAAAATTTCAACTTATTTAATTCTCAGGGGTTCTCTCCAACAATTTTCTCTAATACTAAAAACAAAAATAAAAACCAGAAAATATAACCGATGGAATCTCCTACTTTACTTCAACTTTTCCAACATCAAAATCACTAATTGTTATGCAACGGAAATCTTATGCAAATTTTTGTTGACAAATTTGAAAATATTGTTACTCGCTCAAAAATATCACTTAAATTTAAAAGATCATTAAAAATCAACAAATATGCAAAAATTATAACATCCAAACATTCAAGTGTATGAATCAGAAGGAAATGAAACCAACAAAATTGTAATTAACATAATCATACCAAAATGATTTTTCAGCACTTGCACATAACATTCTTGCACATTCTACAATACGTTCCATGTTTTTGGACATGGATAGAGAAATAGATGAGTTACAAGACTGCATCAGAGCAATATAAACTCTAGCCATACATAGTGCACGATCGGAATGTGAACCATTTGAACTATCATCCGAAAATTCATTTACAACGGCACACAACCTAAAAATGTTGCTAGCGGCAAAGCTCCTCTCAATTAACAGTGCAAGCTTGATAAAAGAATTGTAGTTCTCATGATTAAAATTAATATGTTACATGAGCAATGACATGACTTTTATTTTTCTGTTGTTGTCGAATGAAATAAATCATCACTTGTCGCTACAAACAGAAAAGGATTTATTATTACTGCTAACAACGATAGTCTTTAATTATTTTTCTCACCTTTTCAACATTTCCGAAAGAGCAACAGAGAACTGATCACGTAGCTGATTTACTGCTTGCTCCTTACCAATTATTTCATATTCTTTGATAAAATCCAATAAAGAATGCAAGCCATCATCAAATTCCTTTACAATACTGAAGTGAAACAAAAATTTAGCTTTGAAACTTGGTCAGATTTGATTTTACAAAACCATGCCTTTGATACTACTTTAAAAACTAAACGGATTTAACCTCATCAATTCTTGTGAAACGCCAGTAGCAAGAAGTGAATCAAGTTTTGGAGTACGTTTTTTAAACAAAGCTGGCGGATGGCACAAAATATTGGGAATTTTGTCCAGAAAACTTCGCTCCAGCACTGATAATTCATTTATAATTAATTCCTTAAACAATACTAATAAGAAGCATTTCTCTCAACGTACTCATAAATTGTGTTTTAAATCTTCATTTTTGTAAAACTGACGTTATTTAGACAACGAATTAGTTCGCGATAACATGTTAATATTTTAGCTAGGACTGATCTAATTCAGCAATGAAATAATGCATCATCAAATCATTTCATTCAATTTAACTGAAAAGAAGATATTTACTAGTAAAACATTTTCAAGCTGTAAACGAACCCGAAATCTTTCGACGATCATATTTCCCAGAAATTGCTGATATACTGCCGTACTGTCACCAATCAATGGCCAATTCTAAAAAAAAATATAATTGCACATTTCATCGATAACGAGATATTCATTACAGCAATAGAGTTGATATCGCTGATTGCAGGCGTGCAATACAATAATTATCATGAGAGCAGAATTTCGAAAATCCGAGTAAATCAATCATTTAATTTAGCATAGAAAAACTTCACTTCATGGCAATTAAACATTAAAAACTTTCAAGAACATGACATACCTCATCAAATGCTTCTAAAAGAACTTTGATAAAACCAATTAATGAAGACGTGCTCTCCATAACATCACATTTCAACTTTACAATATTATGCGAGGCAGAACAAACACTACAAGCAATATAATTTTGAAGAACACGAAAAGATCATTTTCTTCACGATCATTAAGAGGGAAAAAAAGCCTTTTAACAGCTCAAGTTAACAAAAGAAAATTCTAAAATCTTGAAATTCCAAATGTTAAATTTAATTGGAATTAATATTGCATCACTTACCTATCCAAAAATGAATTACAGTGCGAAAATAAAGAATTCTCGTCGATAGGAACCAATGAAAGTTGCCTGCAATAATCATTTGTTTCTGTGACTTCTGCTTTGATGCATTTTCCAAAATAGAGTATTTCATCACACATCATTATTTCCATTATTTCTAAAATCACTGAGATTTTATAAATTGAAAGTAAAATTTTAGAAAGCTGAAAAAGTTTTGGAGTAATTCTCTCATTCTACCCAAATACATAGGCGTTAAAATTTTTAAAAAATTTCATAATAAACTTAACACATGACATCACTAAAATTCACGCTTCAGTTGAAAATTCATCAGATTTCCCACAAATTAAATAGTTTTTTTGGATAGTGTAAAATTATAAAGATATAATTATTATCGTTCTTAAATTGTAATTTGACTATGTGCATACTCGGAATCCAGAGAGGTGAAGATATTGCCTGCAACACCATAGCTAAACGACCATCAACAAAAATATGTTTTAAACATTCAAAAGTTTGACGAACTTGCCACACCAAATCAATCAATGATAACGAGCTATTTAATGCTTTCTTAATTGCTGTCTGAAACAACAAATTTTGGATGAATAGCTCTTCTGCAACAAAAATACTTGAAAATTAGAAAATATGAGGCTCCTTTTCAAATTCACAAAAAGACTTTTTGCAAATGGCATGTAAGCATATGTTATGAAAATGTTATAAAAAAAATATTTTTTTTCTGTTACTATTATATAGTAATTTGTTACACTTCACATACTACAAAATAAATATTCTCTTCTTATTTTGTTACCGAAAAAAATCTACAACTCTATGGGTTCTTTGGGCCCATTTAGCAAATCCAAGCAAAAGTGAAGAAAGACGAATGATTAGAACGATTATAGAAAAAGAATACAACTGACTATTTTTTGATCAATGAAGATATCCAGTAAGTCCTTGCTTGAACAATTTTTAAGAATTGTAATCGCTGCTAACTGATTTAAAGTTTCCTTCGTATCAGATAATGTGCCTAAACTATTGACAAATTCATCTTCAAGCTTCAGCCGTATCCGTATGAGTTTGGGTGACATCTGATGAATCAAACGTGAGAATTTTTTTAATTGAATAATGTCAGTAGATAAATTACGATGAAGCATTTCAGTTAGCACCAGAATAAATGTATCTGACAATGGATCGCTTTCACCGATCTAAAAGAACAGAATGTTAGCGTACAGAGTAAAATCTTTAAACTAATAACTAAATTATTCTTTGCGAATAGCTGAAGTATTTGAATAATTATAACATCAAGGATTTCATACTATAAGAATGCGTGTTTTATAAGAGTCTTCAGGATGCTTATCACCTATGCGAAACAACAAGCCAAAAAGTTTTGATCCTAAAGGATAAGAAAATATAATGACAAACAGTTTCATATAAATAATATGTTGCAAACAAAACAAACATATTTTATGTTAATGTGTGGAATCCAACAGTCAATTCCAAACAAGTAATACACTATTAACTCTTCGCTGCCATTAAAATCGTCTAGTATGAAACGAAAATATATGAATACTCCACAACAATAAACTACAAAAGTAAGAGGAAACAAATAATTTACCAATAAGTATAACTTCAAGAGTGCTGATATTCGACAAAGCCTTGCACTTGATATCGAACGTTCAGTGCTAAATGGACGATCAATTTCAGCATTTCGAACAACATGAACAGATTGCACTAATGAATCAGCAATCTGCATTACATGACGAACCGAATTAGATGCATCCAGAACATCTCGATAACGACGACCGACCATTTGCCGCATTTCTTCCTTTTTTTCTTCCACCTCCACGCTGAATTTTGAAATTTGAGAGCACTTTAAAAGTAATCTCGCAAAGAAAATAAAGAACGACAGTTGAACGAAATACGTGTAGCATAATTTTCCTCGAAACAATCGGTACAGTAAAATAAGTTCTTAATGATTTCGAGATATATTACTGTTATAGAAAATGACAATAACTTTGGAACAATCCAAAAAAAAAAATTGAATTTCTCGAGATATGAAAGCAGTTAAAGAAAACACCAAGATACTGCTTTGATTAAATTATCCATGTAAAAAAAAAAATGTTCTACCTATTTCAAAAATTCCTTACCAAAGTTTGGAATATATGTCCTGTAACTGATCAATCGATAAATCTTGCATCAAACGTTCAACGTTCATTTTGCAATTATTCCGCTACTCTAATTCCTTGTTTCCAGTCGGTTCGGAAAATTTAATTATTCAGAATAAGGTACTCAAATTTGATTTCCGAACCATAGAAATAGTTTGCAACAAAAAAATTTTAATATCCTACAATAAATATTCAATTCATAAATACAATCTCCAAGTCTAATCCATCTTTCCGAATTTTAGTTCTACTCTGTTTTTCCTAAAATAATTTACTCTAGCATCTATAACACATGCAATTCAAATCCATGAACTTAATAAAGCACAATAAAAAAAAAAAAACCACAACACTAATAGATCTCTAAATTAATCCACGAAAATTTGCACAGTTCTTTTAGCACCAACATTTCAATTAAACTAGTTTTATCGAATCCCTTAACATAATATTTCATAATACATCAGATTTGAAAGAAAAGCAATAAATTGCTTGCAAAGTCCACATTGTAGAATTGCTTTATCTCAAAAGCAATTGTTTAATTTTGATTTGTTTGAATAAGGGAGTTTTAAGTAATTCTATAGAAATAAAAGTTTGGGTGTAAAATTAAATTCAATTTAGAAAGTCAGTTTGCCATATTTCATTAATACTATATACATATGCTGTTTTTATTATCACACAAAAGTATTAGTAATCAATAGAACAACATTATTAAGATAATGATTTCCGAATAAATCGTTCATTAACGAGTTTATTTCATAGAGAAATATGGGAATATTTTCATAGCGTAAATACCTAATGTATTAACATTCAAAAAACAATAAGCAGCTGATTTATTCAAAAATGTAAACAAATTGTCTCATGGGAAAGAAGGAAATGAAGCATGCACACATGAATCAGTGTTATTTGGTTCAACAAGTCGAGACAGTGAAACTCCTACTAAATCAAACTCGTAATTCATCAATGTCCAACTTCACCAACTTTACCAGAAACCTGAAAAGATAAAGTGGTGAATAAGAATGTAGTTAAACAGATATGACAATGCAACATTCCCGTTTTGGGCTTAGTTATTTAAAATGCTCTATATTCTCTGGCTTGAAGAATAATTAATTCTGAAAAAATTAATTCAGATATGGATCTTGTTGAGAATTTCTAATTGTTGTATTAAAATTAATTAAGATAAAATTTGAAATATTATAGACTAACTCGTTTGAAATCTTGCATATTTGTTGCAGAAAGTGGCGTTCCATAGAGGCGAAGGGCTTCAATTGTTGTGTTTTCGTCCCCGCCCTGATTATCTTCCACAAACAGCTGTATATTTTTCACGCTTTGAAATTTCACGTAACGTAGATTGCATAATTCTCCTTCAATGATCTAAAAATTTAACCTATTGAAAGCAATTGTTCAAAATTATTGGAAAGATTTCAAACAACTGCTTTTATTATAAACAAAATAATTCATTAAGTTGGCAGAAACACAAAAGTTAAATTAATTCACACAGCATATACTCTGATACTGGTTTTTTATTTCAAACTATATAAAGGATATCCTTTCATCTCAGTAGTTACATCAAGAGATAGTTTGCTAAATGTAACAGTTGATAATATCATATTCATGAGAAATACCTTTTCGGAAAAAGAGATCGTCTGTACACCTTCAGCACCTACTGCTCGATCAAAATCAAGAATACTTGCAAGATTAGTGAAAATTTTAACCGTTTTTGGTGCTGACGAACCACTACCTTTCAAATAAATGGAATGGATTTTTACTGGCTGATTAAATGGAATTGATATGATAAGCTGAGGGTCACAATCAGATGTAAGCACTCCTTCACCACTGAGCAAACTCCTGAAATACTAAAATTATGCTCAGGAAACAAAAATCTTACTATTTCCATAAATTTTTTTTCTGACAGCAATCATGCAACCTTCCTTGCATATTACTGCATGGAATATACTTTTATCTCTCATTAAAAAATATATTAGATACGTTGAAATGAGATAGCTCAAAAACTTATGACAAGGACTTTCTCATCAAATGATAATCGCCATTTTTTTTTCTTTTTTTGAACCAGAAAATCATTTCTTCAGCAGATATTTTTACTTCATCTGTTAGAATTATAATAACAGAGTGAAATAAACAGTTATCAAATCAAATTAAAAAACTATTGTTCATAAAAGCTGAAAGCTTTATAATTCCACAAACCTCAGCGTTGCATTATCGTCTTCATTCAAGCATTCCACCTGTGTTTTATCAACAAATGTGATGAGATCAGTTTGTCCCGCAACTGGGCTGTCTTCTTTTGGCGCATTTTCCGACCATTTTTTCACTAGCGCTTCTAATGCCGTTGAATCACCACCACGCAAAAGATCAACCTTCACCCTATATTGAAATTTCATAGGAAAACAAAAACCACATAAACAAAAAAATTATTTACTTTATCCTTTCATTTAACAGCTAAATTTCTAAATTATTATCCAATTTTACGCTTCGTTTACCAATAAAACATTCAACTTTCTTTTAAAAATTCATCACCTAGGCCTTGATTACTAAATTAAAAATAGTATTTTAATAAAACCTGCATACTTCAAACTAAAAGAGTGAAATTTTTAAAGCAGTTACAGTACCTATTCATGTATACGATGAATGTAGGCATTGCAGTAACTCCCTGTTGCGTCGATAGATCTTTTGCCTTATCAACGTCCACTTTTACGAAAACAACATTCAAATATTGGTTGGAAAGTTGGTCAAATGTTGGTGCTATTCGTCGGCATGGTCCACACCTTCAGTAATGTATATTATCAATTACATTCCACATTAGCAAAACAAGTTTCACATAATATAAGACTTATGCAGAATTACGAATATTTGTCACTGCTAAAATGAAGAGTTTTCTAAACTGAACGATGAAAAAAAGAATTACAAAGCTATTTCAAGTTGCCTTTCCTTTTTACTGAAATTAATACCAAATAATGTTTGGGAAGAGAAAAATCATTTCCCCTACTGAAGTTTTAAAGTTACAGTGAAAAAAGTTTTTTGACAAAAGAAATGAAATAAAGCTTTCGGTTCCAAAATCTGGAATAAAAACCAATTATTAAACATTAATTAACCAGATTGCATAAAAATCAACAACAACAGGTTTCGCGCCAGCATTTGCCAAAAATCCACGAAACTCTGCATCCGAATTGCAACAATGAACAACCATAACTGTTATAAAAGACGAAATTCCAATACCGCAATCGATTTATACTCAGCTGAAAAGTTTACTTGAAAATTGACAAATTAAATGTTCGCGAAAAAAATTTTTATCAGAATCAAATGACATCTTTCATTCAACTGAAAACCACCTTTATCATAAAATCTTGAAAGGATTATTACAGTGTTCCACATACATTAGGAATAGGATATGATTAAAATCTTTTTCGAATATTAATTTCGTATTGTAACCTTTGATTACTTGAACTAAAAATAGTACTTCAATGAAACCTGCAATCGTAATTCTTCAGTTAAAATTCAGATGGTTTGCAAAATTCAGGCCAACGAATAATTGTATCTGTTTGGAAGACTTATTTGGTTATCATCCACAATCTTGTTATTCACTGACAGATCATTCAAAAAAAAAAATCCATTAAATGTGTAAATGGTGAATTGAACCAAACATAAGTTAACAATTATGTCAACACCAAATATACATGATGAATTTATTTCTTTCGTCTTTTTTTTTAAGATTTCAGCTGCAAGCAAATATGTACTACAACATTACAAAATGTAAAAACAAATATACAGTTGGAAGAATATTCAATTGACGTCGAACACTATGATTTAAAAAAATCCAGTAAAGAATTTTCTATCGGAATAAAAAATAGAAAGAGAGTAATGCATCGTTGAATATTAATATTTCTTTTTATTCGCAAGAAAAAGAAAAACGCATTATATCATGCACCCCTCCCATTCTGTATTATTTTTTTTAAACAAATATGACTATTTTTTATTCCGGAAGAGTGATTTGAAATTATAAATGTTTTGGTATATATAAATAAGAATAGAACTACCGTACACTTAAAATAAGAAATGTAATCATATGTAAAAGATCAAAATATACAAAACATCCAAACATCTGCCTGAAAAATCGCCAATTTGTAAATCCATGAATAACCATCTGTTTCCTTTCCTCTTAAATCCTTTATCCATTAGACGAAGAGCTTTCAACAAAAACTTTCAACCACTTCGTTTCCGAAAAAAAACAGAAATCTTCGGTGCAAACCAGCTTTTATCTTTTATATTAACACTCATTCAGATGAAGCTTTAAATAGAATTTGAGATTTTAAACATGTAATTTTTTTGATTAAAGCTTTCTACATCCAAATTTTTAGTCCAGAAATCAAGGTTTTGGTTTTTTTTTTTCAAATTTCAAAGAAGAAAGCAAACAGACACTTGTCATGGTAAAACGATAGTGTAAAAAATGTGGCATAAAAGTCCCAGGATAAGACAAATAAGATAGGAATATGGGAAAAAACAACTACTTCAAAATTCACATTACCTGTCGGATAATGAAACAAATCATTGCAAAAATCAAATGCAATTTATAGAAATAAAAATATGCAAAATGGAATGAAAGTCAAAAAATGCGTAATTTCTAAAACAGGGCTCTAAAGCGAAACATGAACGATAATAATCTGTTTACACCTTGTGAAATTTCGAAAATTGAATAAATCAGTCATAAAAATGACATGAAGCAATTCGACGAAAAGAGAATAGTTTTCTTTCACAAGACGTTTATATTTTAATTCATAAAAATCACATGAAGCAATTGGACGAGGAGAGAATAGTTTTCTCCTTTCACAATTAAATTGAGCTAAAGAATGAAATTCAAAAAAATTCTGTTTTAGATGTAAGGACAGACGACAGCACGTTCGTTATCGCACAAACCAATTTAACTACAGACAAAATTAGGATTATGAAGAATAGACAAGAGTTCTTTAGGTTTGCGCAATACGAGCGAATAAGCTACAGCCTCGATTAGCTTTTGCTGAGGTCGTATAAATTTTTAAACTAAACTTAAGGTTAGCATAACAAACAAGATTGAAAGCATTAAATATTGAAATTGCAAATATCAAAAGCATTACAATTACAAAAAAGAATTTTGGGCTGATAATTCAAAATCGCATCGAGCGAAAATTCCGGGAATTTTCCCTGAAAAGATCGTATAAAATATTGTTTCAAGAAAGCGAAAATTAATACAGGCCTTGAAATTTTTATATAACCTAGGAAAGTTTTCAACTTATCAAAATAAAGCAAAATACGACGAAACATTTCAGGAATGTGGACGAAACCATGAAAAAAATTTTTCAGTACTTGCTCAAATTCTGTACAACAGAGAATTAGGATTATTTATATGAGGTCTACTTTGTTATTAACTCCCAGAAATATGATCAAATTATACATATTTCAAGCAGTGTATTTTAATTAAATCCAAGACGCTGAGATTATCCGCAGCTGTCCGTATCAATACAAAGTTCTTAATCTAAGAGAAATGTTCAAAAATTCTGCTAGAGCATATATTAAAAAGATGAACGAAATAAAATAAAATGCTCACTCTCTCACTGTTTGGCAATTTTAGCTTCCAGCATTGAAACTTTTTGCGACACTTCCAACCGAAATTTATTCATTGTTGTGAGTAATTCTTCGAACTGTTGAACCAAACGATTATATTCACTACGCGATACAAATTCATCACTTATATCATTGCTACTGTTTCTCGGTGATAATGCTTGCTGCATTTTTGCCGATTTTATAGAAGATACTGCAATACAAAAACGTTACAATAAGGAAAGATTATTACATTAGAATCATGGACATAATTCAGTGGTTGGAGTGTCAAAATCTGAACTCGCCAGAAATGGGCCATATATCATTAAAATAGTTATGAGTCAACAGTATCTCACATCGAGAATATTAGGTCAACAATGAAACTCAGTTCATAGCAGTTGTGCTTGCAGTGCCAGAGAAATAATCTCCCTTAGATATTTTGCAAGCAAAAAAAGTACTTTACTAAGTTTTAGTTTTTACGAAAATTTGAAAGACTGAAATGATAATTTAAAAATTCCAACAATCTGAGATATAGCATTCTTATCATTAAAAAAGCCCGAGGTCAGGAAATGTGTTTGATTTTCTCTTCTTTCCCAAAGTTTAATAATAATTTAGCGACAATTGTTAACAAGCTGTTTTTTTTTTTCGAATTTCAATGTTTCGACTTCGTAAAAATTTCCTACAAAACTATAACTGATATGAATCTTAGTTATTTGCACCGAATTGTTTTCCAAATGTTAAGGCTTACTTTCGGGATGTCTCAGCTAAATAGAATGATGAAATTACCTATTGATAAAGGCTGTTGCGTACAACTGTTAGATAAAGAAGTTGATGTTGTAGGGGAAATTTTTCCAGATTCTACCACCACCATGCCATCGTCAGCTGAAGCTTCATTCGATTTCTGTAATTTAATTTATTATCGGAAAAATCCCGAAACAAATTAAAAGACATCGATTTCTCCACAAACTCTAACGTCGACTTATATAACAATAAAATATATACAGCTAATCGTTTAAAATCTGCAGGAAAAAGAATTTTCTAAGCGTAAGAAAACATGTAATTTCTAAACAGACAAGTAGAAGTCTTTTAATCAAATACAGGTAAATCAAGTTCCGCGAGAACCAAATCTTATGTAAAAGCAAAACTGAATTGACATCCCTAAAAGTGAAAGCAGGAAACGATCACGTTTAAATAAAATTTGATATCGATGTTGAAGAATATCGCGCGAGACAATGGTGTAAATTAAATGGACCATAAGGAAAAAAATGAACCGAGATAGAAAATAAAATAAAAAATGACTCCATAAATCAAAGAAACTCAAAAAAACAAGAATCAAGAAAAAAGTAAAAAAGAGTTGAAATCATGCAAAACTTCCAGCAAATTTTTAAAAAAACCCACGAAATTGAAAAAACTACTTTCAGAAAAACTAATTCCTAACCGTTCTGAGAACGGTGGACGGAGGTCTTTTATTCGGCTGTTTAGGTCGAGTTGCGGTTATGTGAGATAAACGATCACCTGGCTGCCCTTCACCGGTTGAGCTTTCTTCCGTTTTCACAACCTAAAAAAACTGCGCTCCTACAGAGCTTTCATATCTCAGTTTACTTTAAGAAATCAACCACTTATAACATGAGAACATTCGAGTAAGATAGAGTATAAAAGTCACGTTTTATTTATATCTTAAATTTATCTCAACCATTTTGATGAACTCAGCTTCTTCTTCAATATCATTTCTTTCGATTTTGCACCTTTTGTTCAAATGAATCATCAAATTTACTCAAGTTAAAACAAATACCCTAGCAGCAAATTGTTTCGGTGGTTTCGTGAAAGCATCGGCAAGACTAGAATGCATTTGAGCGAAAACCGAAGAAGTTGTAGCACGCCGACCAGCACTAGACGATAAAGACACTGGTTTTGATATTGGTTTCGCTGGCACATTCGGCGGCAAAGACATCTGAATTTCCTTGAATTTTTTTAGTCTTTACATCTTTTTCTTCAAAAATTTTCTAATCCAAACCTGACAAACTATAATCCCTTTCATTTTTTTTAGAATGAATTCGAATTCAAATTAAAAGCAATAATTCTTTTGAATCACTTAACTTTAGCAGCTAAACTCCCTCCCCTTGAAAACGAAAAATTTTTAAATCTACCTTATGCGTTTCTGAATTTATAGTACTGATAGAAACTGCTGGCCTTAGAATTTCAACAAAATTATCTGGAATCAATCCTTGTCTGCCGTCAATTTCAGCTAACAACCATCCAGGATCTTCACTGGATTTACTCACAATCCCAATTATTTGGCCTACTTCACGAAGCGCAAGCTCATCGTCATGTTTTGGCGAATAGGTGAATAGAACGCGTGCTAAAAAAAAATTAAGAAGTTGATGACCTAAATTCAATGGCAAACGCCATAAATAACAGGAATCATCAAGGCCATGCAATCAATCCGTTCACAGAAAAAACACCACTATTATCCAATTGCTTCATCCATTGAGAATACTAAAGACTACTCAGGAAAAAAACTGGATTACAAATTTCTTAATCATTATAATCCAATAAAACTGAAAGTGAGAAGAAAATAAATCCAGAAAGTTCTGTTATTGACCGATCAACAGTGGAAATATAATCTCAGCAAACTCAGCTGTTTCTGTTGAAAAACATAAATATATTGATGATACATCCCACGTGCCTTTCAACAGTTGTTACCATTCATTTCCACCATTTTTGAAAATAATTTTCAAAAAAACGTTTTTCAGTTAGTAGAAACAATTTCATTAACAACTCTATATTCTGAGTGTTCTAGATGTGAGTAAAAAAAAAAACGGTACTAAAATCTAGAGAAATGCAATATTTTATGATACGACAAGGCTTATGACTTCCTAGTGGAAAGAAATTCAGAAAATTCCAATCCACGGATGTGAAACTTTAATTCGTAACCCACCATGGAAAACAAAACATGTTCCCAGGACTAGCACATCAAACGCAGAAAAGTTAAAAACCTTTCGCATTCGGTTCTTTTTTTCCTAGAGTTGTTGAATCAGATGTATGGTAATTTACGCGATTCTCCGACGGTTCATTTACTATGGATAACCGTGAGGTAGGCATTTGGGGCAACAAATCACCTGCAAATTCGATATTGCAAGTAGTTGCGAACAAAATTAGCTAATGCGAGCAACTGCTAAAATTTCTAATAATTGTATTATTAATGATTTGATGCTGCGTTAATTAGTTTAAAGTTAGAATTAGTGGATTTAAAACTACACTTCTAGCGAAGTCTAGTTTTAAATCCAATAATTTCACATCTAGATACCATACTTTGCAATATTCTGCAGTTAAGTTATACTGAAAGTATGGGGTAAATAACATAAAAGTGCTTGATCCGACTATCTTTCACCAGTTCCATATCCAATATCTTGATAACATAAGGTGACTATATTTCAACAATTTTAACGTATTTCAATGAAATTCAATCTCTCTACCTTTCCTGGGTTTCCTATAACATTCTTCGTCACAGAATTGTAAATTCATGGTAAATCAGGAAGGACATTTCAAAAAAGAAATTTTCAGTTAACTTTCACCACATAATGAATATCATACTGACAATAAAGATGAGGTAACAATGATAACACTAACAATTACAATTCATGTAGGATGAAGGAAAAACATTAAGTTTTAACTCTACGTTAAGAGTTGAGACAGTAAGAACCAGGGAGAGGGATATATGATAGTGCTACAAACATCAAATTCCATTACGACTCCAACATCATAATATTTAACAATATATAATTTCCAAACCATAAATCGAACAAAACTTAGCATATAATTGTCTCTTGCCTACAATAGAAAACTATCACAACTCAATCATCTACTTCATCCAAAGCTAATAATTTTATGAAAATTATTAATAACAGAATTATTATAAAGATACTCACCGGAAGCAATATTATCCGAAAAATTCTTTTCATCGTTTGATTTCAAAGTATCACTATTACCCATCGTTTTATCTAAAAAAGAATAGATTCCTGAAAGTTGTAAGGCTTTCGCTGTACTTTTTTAGAGGTCAACTTTAATCTTCACTCACATAATCAATCAGCAACCATCTAACAAATGAGTACTACAAATTTGTAGCAGGTACGATTGTAGAATGTAATAATCTTTATAATATATATGGCATAATGAGCTGTATCACCGTAAAAAAGATATAATGGTGCTTATTAAAATAACTATTCGGAAAAAATTCAAGACACTTCACATCCATAAAACCATATCAAGCAATTCCAAAAACGAATAAAAAATCAATTTGAAACAGGCCCAAAATAAGTCAGACTAAACTTGTTATAATTTACTTTATAACAAGTAAAACTAAAATTTATTTTCTTCTTAGAAAGTAACCTCTAACAATCTATATAAAAAAACAAAAATATCAATATAAACTTACCAAGGAAATGTACGAAATTAGTAGGGAATAATCCAATCCGACCCGTATTTCTTAACTTTCCTTTCATCCATCCTGTTTCTGCTTCTTCTAGAACATCTAGAACATCGTCTACTTCCAGATCAAGTTCATCCTCATGTGCTGCTTTATAGGAATATCTCACTGTTGCCGAACGCGTCGCCATAGTACCTATCAATTGAACAAAAAAAATGAAAAAAAAAAGCAAAATGATCTGTACATTAATTTTTGTAAGTGTGAACACTTTTTTCAAGACATCTCACCATTTCTTAGATCACACATACTGTAGGCCCTAAATCTAACAGCACTGAATATAAAAGCGAGACTGTTTGACTTCACCACTTATTTAGTCTTATTTGTTCTCAAAGTTGGACATTTTAGGATGTACAATATATTAAACCCTCACTGCTCAAAATCCCATTTTCAAGTAGTATATATTCTCACGCGCAGAATACTAATCTAATAATACTTGAAAATGTATGTTGTAAAAATTCAAAACGAATTAAACAATTTTTAACAAAGAAAAAGATCGCCTTTTAAATAGCTATAGTTTCCTGTTACCATGCCCATCATCATCAGACAAATTTTCATCTTTGTATATCATAATACTTTGCACTTTGCAGCACTGATTTGCAAATCAATTTTTACATTCCAAGAATGATTATATGATGACTTAGAATTAAAGCAGCAGTTAACGGACCATATCTACGATACTGCATCCTCATAAAATATTAAGAATAAAACAGCTTGCAAAAATCAACAAAAATTTGCAAAGGACGTTTCAAATCAAAATGAATCATAGCAATGAAATATGTGTGTTTTTTGTCGCTTTTATTGTAGATTGAACCCATAAAGACAGTTTCATGCAATATAAACTTAGAGAATAATTGATCTTTTAAATTTCTTTTGAAATAAGACTTAAAAGACATCTGGAACCTTGAAGAGCGACATCGAACGTAATTCTTCCTTGCGATATAAAAAAATAAAAATAAAACACCGAAAACATGAACGACTTTACAAACTTTTGTGCGCTCAACAATGTGCCTTTTTTAACTCGCCAACACCATCACGAACACCGGGACAAATCATATTAGCACCGATTTGTGCCTTTCTGCACTAACTATTTTCTCTCTTTCTTTTTTCGCATGCACAGAACACCCCTTGTTCACTACAATTTGCATTCTGAATGAATCATCTCTTCTAATGTTATTTATTAAATAATATTAAATTCATTTACGTCCTTTACATTTACTTATAGTAACGAGAAATGGACAAAAGCATTTATAACTGATCACCAAGTCAAAAGAAAAACGAATATATCAGCTCAACAAAACAAACATTTGGAATTTTTTTGGCTTGAAATCCTTGAACTCTTCATCAAAACATAATAAAAATTACCTAACAAATAAAAAAGTAAAATTTCTTTCTCAAAAAGTTCACAGAGGTAGTCAGTCATACATCGTCAATGGACAAAAATGATGGAGATCGTAATGATATGCTATTACATACCTTAAGACTATTCTAAAAATTACAAGATTCAATATTTCAGTTAAAAATATGTGGTAACCATAACAGGATTTTTTACTGGTTAATTTGTTCAAAAATTATACTGCAAATCCTTTATTACAAGACAGAGAGATAGGAAAGCAAAAAACAGTCTAAAATAAATTTTAATATATTTCAGTTTGTTTAAAAAAATTACAATAAAATGCACCTTAGGAGATCAAAATTAAATGATTGTCCCGAAAGCTAATAAGTCAATGGCATAGATTTCATCATATAAAAAGCTAAAAAAATGCATTACTACTATTACATTTGATCACACACTATTTGGCAGCAGTTTTTCATGGAAACAGGTAGACTAAACAAGTTTATTAAGACTTTCTTATTATATTCAACAAGGATTAATGGTGCTTTTTCGGATCCTGTTTGAATTCTTGGGAATTACACGGAAATGCGTGGTATTTATCTCTTATCATTAAGATGGCCAATGCTTCTCCATTTCAACACTAACAATAATCCGAACACTACTTCCCATAAAAACACATCTGAAGAAAACCTCTTATCATAATTCTTATCATTCTTTAATTATAAATGTAGAAAAACTACCCTCACTAATGTTAACATAATCTGTCAATTGTGCCGCATTTATCTGCACTTCTGTTCAATCCTTTATTTTATATCTTCTTTATATATACTAACCTGCTCTATCGTCCTATTACAAAAATTTATCAATCAAAATATTTGTATTATTAATCTTTATGTTAAAGAAACTGTTTGTCTCAAATTCTCAGGCAAATGATAAATATGATGCCTCGTTTATTCTCTTGATGTACAATTCCAAGAATAGTGTGATTTATGACCCTTTGTTTACGTTAATTCATTATACTAGATGATCAATTGTTTACTTTATCATAACCAGTGCTCACCAAATCACAACTCGAAAGCAATATATAGTACCTAACTGTCTCAGGAATCAGTCCTATCATCAATAATTTGAGGCTGTTCGTTGAGATAGTGGTTC